AATATACTATACTATACTGTACCATACTATACTATACTATACTATACTATACTATACTATACGATACTATACTATACGATACTGTACTATACTGTACTATACTATACTATACTATACTGTACTATACTATGCTACAGTATACTATACCATAATATACTACAATATAATATACTAGAAAATAATATTTTGATAATAAAATAAACAATATATTATTGCTTAATAGCATAAAGTATAATATCGTTTCAAAGTCCAAGCCCAAGTCTCTCGGAGACCTCCTCTTTGAGGGTATTTAAGGCCCTAGGGAGTTTCCGAGTTTAGGGTTTGAGGTTTTCGAGCTCGTTCGTGGGATTTGGCTTGTGAGAAGTGAAGAGCCTAATATGTTGGTGTGTTTTCAGGGCTTCCCGGGACTCTGTTTTGCTTTGTGGCCGGTTTCGTGGGTTGCCTTCCTTGGCTCTCGACGGCCCACGATGCCAGCAACCTTTTTCGACAGGCTTTGCGTACAATCCGCACGCTTTTCCGTCACCCTTTCGGAATACGGAGCGTGGGTACTCTCCATGCTACAGGTTGCTACGCAGCGTTTAAGGCTCTTCCGGCGGTGAGACAAAAGCATGCTGAATCGAATGTCTGGTGAACTAGGGTTTAGGGTTTAGGGTTTAGGGTGTTGAAAGCTGACGAGCATGAAAGGCAAGGACTGAAGTCGACAGCACGGCCGGCGACGACGGTGACGGCGACCAAAACGACGCTACGACGACTGTCGCCACACCACCACTGCTCAACTACTACTGGTGCTTGCGCAGCCCTGAGTACAGGTACATGCCACTGTAAATCCTAAAACCATAAGCTCTGAAACCCTAAAATCCAGGAGCATTTGCAGACTGGACCTAAACTAAACCTCCTAAACCCTGAAACTCCAGGCGCCAAGCACCCTGAAAGCCAGATGAATTTGAAGCCACACCACCCTGAAGCCCGTTTAGGGGTTTAGGGTTTCGGGTTTAGCCTTAACTTTGAAACCCTAAACCCTAAACCCTAAACCCCTAAACCCTAAACCGTGGGTTTAGCCTTAACTTTGAAGCCCTTCGCAAGCTGCTACCTGTTGCCAGAGCATGACACTCGCGACTTCCAGTCGCTCTCCTGCGACAAGATCAACCAGCTGAAGCCGCTCTGCCTGGGTTTAGGGTTTAGGGTTTCAGGGTTTGGGGTCTAGGTTTCAGGGTTTGGGGGTTTGGGGTCTAGGGTTTAGGGTTTGCGGTTTAGGGTTTAGGGTGTATAGTTTGAGGGTTTGGGGTCTAGGGTTTGCAGTTTAGGGTTCAGGGTTTAGGGTTTCAGGGTTTGGGGTCTAGGGTTAAGGGTTTAGGGTTTGCGGTTTGGGGTCTAGGGTTTAGGGTTGAGGGTTTAGGGTTTCAGGGTCTCGGCGTTAGGGATTTCGACGGCCGTATACTTTATCGGGGTGACTGACATCAACATTTTCTGTTGTCTCGATCTGTGCTGCTTCGCAGTCATCGAACTCAGGTCCAGGAGCGAGAGTAAACCCTAAACCCTAAACCCTAAACCCTAAACCCTAAACCCTAAACCCTAAACCCTAAACCGTGTACTCTCATCACTTCCAAAGTTATCTTGCACCCTTGGCACTGTAGCACCTTCGGCGGATTTGAGGCACTCATCATCACGGTTGCTGCGGCTTCTGTTGCAGCTCTTGTAGTGGCTCGTGGTGATGTTGGCACTTTGGCTTTCGTTCTCCGTGCTCCTCTGCTACCCCGTCGGCCTTAATAATTACCAACACTATTTTAGGGGATCCTTGCTATAATTATAGTATAATGGGCCCCAAAACCCTATTCTAATTTTAAACGCTTCGCGTCGTCCGCCTCGGCCCGGCCGCAAACAAAGAGGGCCAACGAACTGCTGGTGCTGAAGGCACCGTTAGCAGAGCAGATGAGGGGAGGAGAGGCGCATGAAGCAAGGCAGGCAGAAACAGCAACCTCCAAGCTCGATTTCCAAATCCCTGTAGCGCTGTACCCTAAACCCTCAACCCTACAGACCGGGAGCCTTAAACCCTCAACCCTACAGAAGGGGAGCCCTAAACCCTAAACTGTCCCCAAGCCCTGGACCCTGAAGCTCTGAGTTTCAGTGAAGTGCTGAAGCCCTATAAACCCTAAACCCTAAACCCTAAATCCCAAGAACCCTGAGTCCCTGATGCACTGCCTCAAACTCCGCAAATCCTGCACCTCGGATATACCACTGTCGTCCCTGTATATGTATACTATAACATACCTTCAACCCTCAACCCTAAACCCTGAACCCTGAACCCTAAACCCTAAACCCTCAACCCTAAACTCTAGTTAGTAAGGTCCTTACACTAAGCCCACCCAAAACTCTCCGCAGGTCGGATCCGCATGGGCTGGAGGAGTATGAAAAATCCCAGTTCAAGGCCTTAGGGGAAACCGCCAGTTTTTGAGTCTTTGGGGTTTGGGTTGTGGGGTTTCGGGTTCAGGGTTCAAGGCCTAAGGGAAACCGGCAGTTTGAGTCTTTGGGGCTTACATGGGTAGTTCTCTGAATCAGGGTCCCTTCTTAGGTCCCCAAAATAGGTCCCCCAAAATGCTAAGGCACCACTACAGAAGGACCCTTTAAGGGACCGTAATGTATCTAACCATATAGCCTTCTTGCTAAAAGCGTGGAGAGATGGGTTTAGCGTTGTGGAGCGTTTGGATTTAGGGTCTGGAGTCTAAGGTTCGTAACGATTCTCCAAACCTTGCTACTAATGCTGCCTGCTTTTTTGAAGTAGTACGATCATGAGCTAGTGTTGTCTCGTTATGAGTCTTCGTTTCTTTCTTCGCACTTGTCTTAAATGCAGCTACGAGTCGTAGCCTGTTCTCTTGGGTTCTTGACCAGGCACCCTGAGCCCCGAAACCTCAGCCTGAAGCCCTAAACCCAAAACCCTAAAGCCTAAACCCCAAACCCTAAACCCCAAATCCTGAACCCTAAACCATAAACCGTGAAAACGTTTGCTCCGAGCCCCCGACCCCAGGGTAACAAGACCCATGTTCTCGTGTGCGAAGGATGCCATCAAGCAGCTGGTCGGGCTCTTAGTTGACTGCGTCTGTCCTTAGAGTGCACTGGGCCTCGGTAGACTACCGACCTCTTCGAACATGCTCTAGTGCAAATTTTCTATACATAAGAATGAATAGATACGCGACTCAACAGATGAAGAGCGACAAGTACATACGTATGTACATATACACATACATACACACACACACATACATACATACATTCATACACACGTACATTCATACATACAGACATACATGCACATACATGCATACGGACACGTACATGCACATACATACATACATACATACATACATACATACATGCATGCATACATACATACATACATACATACATACATACATACACCCTTGCATGCATGCAGAGATGTTTACTTACGTACTTGCATACTTACATAAATACATATCTAGACTTACCATATACATATACATTTACATTTCCAGATATTTATACACATTCATATACATATACAAACACATACATATATACCTATACATAGACATGCGTATATACATGTACATACATCAGCAGATAAGCAGAGGAGTGGATGGCATGTTTTATTGCGATCAGCTCTGCTTCATGTGTCATGGTCATCTAAGTTTGAAGTCGATCCTTCTGACACCCTCTTACGGCGCTTTGTCAACGGAGTCTTCTTCAAGGCGGGGACGTGGCAGCCAAGTCGGTTCCAGCATCACGAACCGGAAGCTTTGCTTTTGTGCACACCGATCCACCGCAGGCGATGTGCATGATCGCGATAGGAACAAACACCTGCCACTCGGATGATCCAGCACTGCCTTATGTTTTTTCCTCTCCTGCTCCTTCCCACAGATTGCTGGTGAGCGAAACGAACATTGCAGTTATGTTATAGTCAACTAAGGTTACCTGGGGATAGCAGCGGACTGGAACGTCCGGAACAGCTTCAAGCCCATCGATTGCGCAGCTGCTTGCCAGTGAGCTGTCGTTCGCAGTCGGAACTTGGAGATTGACAAGCTTTCCCGGCGTCTTCCGATTCGGTTCGTTGAGCTGTGTGCTTTGCATGCCTGCCAGTCCTGTAAAGCGCTCTCACCCGTGCCGTGCATTGAGGCTCATGGTTTGGTTTGCGGCAAGGACCCGCTGCGGTGCAGCTTCGGGCCGAGACTTTGGGGTGCTTCTGAACTTGAGCACTTGAGAGCCGGTGCTACACCCGAATTCCGAAGCCTCCAAAGCTGAAAAAGAACCTAAGTACCGGTAAACGAACCACAATGGAAACACCGGCCCCCTACCACTGCCACTACGACGAGTGCTGCTACCGTTGCTATTACTACAAATGCAACGCACTACTCCTACTACTACTGCTGCTACCACTGCTACCACTGCTACCACTGCTACCACTGCTACCACTGCTACCACTGCTACCACTGCTACCACTACCACCACTACAATTACCACCACCACTACCGCATCTCTACCGCTACCACTACCGCTACCGCTATCACTACCGCTACCGCTACCACTACTACTTTACTACTCCTGCTACTCCTGCTACTCCTGCTGCTACTACTACTACTACTACTACTACTACTCCTGCTGCTGCTGCTGCTACTACTACTACTACTACTACCACTACTACTACTACCAGTACCGCAAACAATGTGATTCCTGTGGAACCATGTAGAATCTCCTACACTTCCGCTCAGAAACAGAGAGGACCCAGAGGCGACCTACATAGATATCGTCTTCGCTGCGTGGTTTGGCACCGAGATCGTCCTGCGGATCCTCGTGGCAGCTCAGCTTCAGGGGCAGCTCCCGTTTCAAAGTTTTAGAGTTTAGGGTTTAGGGTTTGTTAGGGTTTAGGGTTTATGGTTTAGGGTTTTAGGGTTTGTGGCTTCGGTGGCAGATGTTGCGAGCACTCGGCTTTACGGGGTGAAGAGCTTTGATAGCACATGGACTGCTGAGGCGTAGATTGTGTCCGTCCGCAAGCAGCCTTTGCATCCCAAGCCTTCAACCCTAAATCCAGACTGCGCAGGACGGCTGCCGGTTCTTTACCAACGACGAGAAGTACTGGCGCCTTGCTCTTGCTGTAGACATCAAGTCTAGGGCTAAAAGGGGTCAGGGTCAGGGTGAAGTGTTTAGCGTGAGGATTTGGCGTTGCGGCAAGGGCCAGAAGGCCCAGTGGGTGTATCGTTGCAACCGGCCCCCAGCCCGACGAAGTCACACCCTGGGCTGAGGAACATTTTCGATTTCCTCCTCGTGGCAACCCGGCAGCACCCGTGGACGTAAGAAAGCAAGAGTGGCGGCAGAAGCAACGTGGCCATAGTAGCAGCCAAAAAGGGGAGTGGTAGCAGGCTGGCAGCGGAGATGGTCGTAGTAGTCGCCGTCGTCGTCGTCGTCGTCGTGGTAGTATAGCAGTGGTAGTAGCAGAAGCAACCCTAAACCCTAAACATCCCTAAACCCTAAACCCTCCTCAACGCCCCCAAAGCGCCCGAAGTCCCAGACTCGCCGTGGCTTTCTCCCTTTCTGCAGGCCGAGTCCTTAGCGAGCCTCACTTTAAACACCGGGAATCTCAGTCTCCTCCGGATCTTCCGGGTGTTCCGCCGCCTGGCTGTCTGTTACACTTTTGCTTTGGGGTTTAGGGTTTAGGGTTTAGGGTTTAGGGGCATGTTTCGAGGTGTAGCGTTGTGCTCGTAGTTTATTTTTTGATCTTCGCAGACGGTGGAGTGGCTGGCATGGTTGGGTTTCGGAGCATGAGGCTTGTTCCGAATGGTCCTTCCCTCTCAAAGCGCGAAGTTTTCGAGGAGGGAACGTATAAAAATAGTCAGGAACCTGGAAGCCACCTGGAACTGGAGCCATGAATCTGAAACTCCAGAATGTCTGTAAACCGTAAACCCTTAACCTTATTCTTCCAGACCTCCCATTGTTCGGGCCAGACTAGAAAGTCGGGGTCCGGGGAGGCAGCACCTCAACTCTGAAGCAGAGGCGGGAAAATCTTATACCTGAGACACCAAACAGAGAGCCCGAACAGCCTGAGTTCTGACTTTGGGCAGCCTGAAGACCCAAACATGCCGTCTTGTTTTTTGTTTACATGCCTGGTGGGATGAGCTTCGAGTCTGGGCATGACATCCACAGAGATCGCAACGCCCGGAGGAGGTCAGGTTTTGTTCAGAAGACCAGTGCACTTGACAAGTAGGGAGCCCAAGACCGCGTATGAACCTAAATCCTGAAACCCTAAACCCTAAACCCTAAACCCTAAACCCTAAACCCCGAGCTGACAGCATAGCCCCAGAGTTTCTATGTTGTCAGCATGCTCTCGAAGGATCACTGAACCTAAGCCGCAAATCTATGATCCACAAGGCAGATATCAACCCATAGGAACCCTTAATATAGGGGCCTAAACAACTACCGATACTGTCTTAGTAGCTCCTTATTACAAGCATAGTATATTATACCGCAAAACCCAACTGAAATTATTAAGGCCCCTACATTGTAAAAACCCTTCTAGTGAAGACGGCTTGCTCCGAGGTTTGATCCGAATTGTCAGACTGGTCCGGACTGCCGGGCTCTCACTTCTGAGCTGGTGAAGTTCTACGTTCTAACATAGGATTTAGGGTTTAGGGTTTAGGGTCCAATATAGCGGTCTTCATAGATTACCTATACTATTTTGGGGGCTCCTTATTATCATTATAGTATACTGGACCCCAAAACCCTATTCTAATTATTAAGGCCCCTGTACTAGTCCTAAGTTCTAAGCCCCTAAACCCTAGAAGGGTTTGTGGTTTAGGGTGTAGATTTGGTTCAGGGTTTAGGGTTTAGGGTTTACGGGTTTGGGCTTAGGGTCAAGCCTTATCCAGACCCTCGAAGAAGATCCAGCAACTAGATCCCTTAAGGGGGTTACTTTGAAGTACCCTTTCGTAGCTCAGGTTCCCTTTAATTCTCCGGGTCAAAGCCTCGAAACCCCTAAACCCGAAGCCCGATGCTGGAAACTCCCAGCCCGAACCCTAAACCCTAAACCCTAAACCCAAAAACCTTAAGCCATGAACCCCAAAACCCTAAGCTCAAAACCAGGGTTTCGGGCGTAGGGTTTAGGACTGGGGCTCTGGGCTTAGGGTTGAAGCCGTGAACACCCGAAGGCTCCTGTCCCCCGTCCAAGCCGAAACCCGGTTTAGGGTTTAGGGTTTTGGGTTTAGGGTTTTGGGTTTAGGGTTTAGGGTTTAGGGTTTAGGGTTTAGGGCTTAGGGTTTAGAGTTTGGGAGTTTCAGTCGGTTTGCGTTTAGGGCT